TGCTAATACCACAAATATACCTAATAATCCAATGGGTGGCACACACAAGGACCAGCAATGCCTTGGGGCTCTTACAACCCACAATATACAACAATTTCATATCATATACAGTAGTATACATACATGATCCATAACTCTATATATATCATATCAAAAAGGTGGCTCTGTGCTATAACTACAACATCCTACATCAACCTACATAAACATAATACATCACAGTGTCACAAATATATACAACAGACTCCCAAAATAAGCAGGCAACATCTATGCTCAGATCTACTCATCAACCACGGGCCTCTTGCCCCGAGAACGATCGTCAACTGCTGCGATACCTGAAATATGTCCCCATAATGCGGGGTGAGAATGAATCTCAATAAACTTGGGGTTTATGGAGCAGTCTCCACCCAAGAGTCCACTTCCTGCAAGAAAATATCAAGTACCAAGACATAGATAACACCATATAATCCATATTAGAATTTATGTATCATATATCTTTTCTGATAATTCTCATTTATTCTTATAACGTACTTTCTATTAATCTTAAGTATGTTCATGTCTTATGTATAAATAAGGCTTTCATCTTATATTCGTAATATCGTATCACATTCAATAGCATACTCATAATGATCAGAGAACTAAAGTTTCCTCGGCTATACCTTATGTATACCGTGATCATATCCATAATTGTTTCCTCTGTTCAGAAACCATAACTACACCTCCAAGGCTTTATTTCATTGAAGATCATATCATATTAACTTATCATAACATAAATAATATCATATGCATGCACTATATGAATGCAACTACGCAAAGTATCAATATTAACAACAATTATATCCATACGGAAACCATAATCGCCACTGATCATGGCGGAACAAAAAGGCTGAGAAAACTCCTAAACCGAAAGCTTACCTGTCACCTCTTTCCTGCTGCTAACTTGTTATTTAATACGCTGTACACTTGGTTGTCTCCAAGTTGTTCGTCCACCTACTTCGTTTGATTACACTCTGTTACCGTATATATAAAAGTACCATTAAGTTCCAATGAAACATACATTACTTGAAATCCAAATAATTATATTTCATATGTTAATTTCATAACCAACTTGACAATTTTATTTCCCTTGACAACTCATGCCATACCACAAATCTACCACTTAATTTATACTTCATAAATTAAACCCTCAACTAGTTAATTAACTTACCCTTTTTATAGTGGAATTTCATACACTTTAACATAGCTTCACATATCATAACCCACTTGAATCATACTTGATTATTCTAGGCAAATGCTATTAAACATTCACTTTAATTGAAACCACATAATCTATGCCCATTATTTCTTTATGGTCGAAGCCTATATATAAACATAATACACAATTCTTTTGTTGTCATGTTTAACCAATTAACTTAATTCACATGCAACTATTCTTGACATAGAATTTCTATTAACTTGACCTAATCAACACCACATAATTTAAACCTCACATGATCGTAAAACTTCTTTCAATGATCATGTATTTATTTGTTCCCCAATTTTCATTAAACCTTGTATTAATCCACACTAACATATACCATGTAGCTATAAACCACATTAAGTCACTTTAAACCATCTCTAACCTTCTTTAATGCAATTTCCACATATTAACCTAATCCTAACTCACAAGGTTACATCTTTGTTTTAAGTGAAATTCTCACAATCCAAATTATCAATACTAAATCATGATTTATAATTAACATTTATGTCCATCAAACCTCAACTTACACACTCATTATCTTAATTAGCCTAATAGGCATATAAATGGATCCAATGACCTTTTTATCCTTTTCTCTCAATTAGGAAATATTCCATATTGATATATCATATCAAGTGAACACTAAACAACATTTAAATATCAAGAAACTCAATTCCAATGCTATCCATTCCATGTAGTCCGAATTATGACAACATAGATTTTTATAAAACATAAATTTTTCTATCCTTTTTAGTCACTTGTTTATCATTTATTCAAGTTCCAATCATCATTAACTTAATGAACAACCAATTAATAACTTCAAACCCAAAAATAGGCCATAAAGCCAAGACACCTCATAGAGAGGTAAAACGTGATTCATTTCCAATTTAAGCCATAGAACCGTTATATAGCTCAAACACATGAATCTTTAATCTATCATGATCTTATTATAAACCCACAAATTCACTTCCATACACATTATCATTCTTAGGGAAGATTTGCCTTAAATAGGATTACACTACAATCTTGTGACTCAACATCATTTTCTTCATTTAAATCATCCTTAGGTCACTTAAATTTTGGTAGTTCTATTTAGGCATTTTATCAAACAAGTGATTTGCATAATTCACCACTACATGGCTGATTTGTTCTTTGTATATACAAGGTTCCTCTATTTTTATTTTCAATAATTTCATGCATAACAAACTTCAAACAACATAACAACTAATCTTCACACATATATCTCATCAAATAGTCAATATACAACCCAACAATAACAGCCCCAACACCCATCGTAGACTAATTTCCATTCACCATAAATAAGATATATTACCTTCTTTAGCTTCTCACACAACTATTCATCAATTTCCAAGCTTTAGAAGTGAAGAAGACCACTTGAAACCCCTTTTGACAGCATGTGTATCGCATTACAGGGAGAAGATTTTCTCACTATAGAGTTTCTTTCAATGAACTACACCTAGGGATATGTTAACAACATCGTAACCTTTACTTTCTATGAAGAAACCTAAGTAGGAAGATGACTAGAAAACAAGTTGCACTCTTGCCCTTTTCTTTCATAGAGGTTCGATGCACATGGAGAGTAGAAAAGAAAAGAATGAGCTTGGGAGGCCAACATAAGAGGGCTGTCGACTTATGGGGCTAGAATAGCAAAATATATGTATTTTATATCAAGTTCCTTTTTGACTTATCCACACTAATTCTTATTGACTAACTTAAACCACTGGGACCTTCTTTTTTTAAAAAAAAATAACGTTAGCTGCACATTAAGGGATAAAATGAATAAAAGAGCATGAAACACAAAGCTAAATGTAACTAAATTAATATTTCTTCTACTTAGTAAAACTTTGACTTTTCAAACCTTATTCTTATTGGTTCAACTATTTGTAACTTTTATTGGTTACTTAAAACACACAATTAAAAGAATGTAGCATGGAATGGAATGCTACAATGAAAAACAAAACAACTTAATAGTCTTAAAAGAACTAGATGATTGCATTTTTTTTAAAGCTTTTTGACCTTTCACCACTTAAATGGGTACCTATTAGTCTCACCAAAAAATAAACTACACGAGCCATTCTAATTTCATAGCACAATGGGCTTCACCAAAAATTCATGTGAACACCAATAATTTAATAACCAATCCACTAAGTTTAAAGATATCTCATAACTTGTTAATTCACACAAGTAATTTGACCTATTTAAAATTCCCTATTAGTTGATATTAAATCAATTCCAACTTAAATAAATAAATCTCTCTACACATTATTGGATCAAATTAAATTCACATTTATCCCACTAAATTTACTAGATAAATTAATTAAATCATCTCATTCAAGTTTCGACTTAATTTTGCTAAACTATAAAATATCCCTTAATTCCCACTATATATATTTTTTCATATTCTAATTCATATTTTATAATTATATCTAGGTCATATTAGACTTGTCTAACATAAACTGTATATTCCCATTAATTATCATGAACCCACATTATTTTAATCTAATAATTTATCTCACATAATTTCCTTGCATAAGTGTTTAATCTAATTAAACACCTAATTAATTTCTTTTCTTTTAATTTACTAATGAGGGTTGTTATAACTTGACTATGATGTCGTCTATATATACCTCTACACTTTTCCCTAGCTGGTCTGCGAACACTTGATTCATCATTCTTTGGTAGGTGGCCCCTGAATTTTTCAACCCAAAAGGCATCACATTGTACCAATAGTTCGCCTTTTTCGCAATGAAAGCAGTTTTTTCTTGGTATTCTGGATGTAGTGGGATTTGATTATACCCCGAATAGGCATCCATGAAGGACAGCATCTGGAATTGGAATGAGCTATCAACCAGCTGGTCTATTTTAGGCATTGGGTATGCGTCCTTAAGGCACACCTTATTCAAGTCGGTGTAATCTGTGCACACTCTCCATTTTCCATTTGATTTTTTAACCATCACCACATTGGATAACCAGGTTGTATATTGTATTTCCCGGATGAAACCGGCTTCCAATAATTCTTTCACATGGTCCTCCAACACTTACCGTCGTTCTGGGCTAAGTTTCCTCTTCTTCTAAGCTACCGGCTTAGATCCTGGGTACATCGCTAGCTTGTGACAACAGAAAGCAGGGTTAACCCCAGGAATTTCTGAGGAATTCCAAGCAAAGACGTCCTTACTGTTCCTTAAACATGCAATAAGTTGGACTTTTTCCTCGTCCGCCAACCCTTTACCGATCTTTGCAGTTTGTCCCTGCTCCCCAATAATCACTTCTTCTAATTCTCCATCAGGTTCAAGCCTTGGTATCTGAGTATCATCCCTCATATCTAACTCCACCATGTTTACCGAAGTCTTCTTCTCTTGGATCGGGCCGCCTTGACTACCACCGTTTTTGATCTCGACTGGTGGTTTAGGATCGCTCTCCACCGCCCTAACTGATTTGAAATAGCAGTCACGAGACTCCTTCTGGTCTCCAGCAATGGTAATCACCGTATTCTGCTTACCAATCATCTTAAGCTTTTGGTGTTTGGTGGAAACGAACATATCCCAGTTGTGGATGGTCAGTCTTCCCAATATTACATTATATTCCGAGGGGAAGTCGGCTACAATGAACCTTACTCTTTCGGACTTGTATGCCTCTTTGGTTCCTAGGGTAAGCCTGAGATCTATATACCCTTTGGGAATAGTATTACGGCCATTGAATGCGATCAAGGCCGTGTTGCAAGGCTTCAAATCTTCCTCATCTAGATTCATTTTTTTGAACGCCCACAACTGCCGTTGTCTACAAATATCTTCTTGACTCGGCAGTTGACTAGCGTTCCCGTGATGACTAACCCATCCACGTGTCCTGGCATCACGTCCTCCAAGTCTTTCCTAGTAAAATATAATAGTGGCGGCTCCGGTTCGGCTTCTTTAAACTTAGGTCGCTCTCGTATCGAAAACAACTCTCTGAGATATTTTCTTCTGGCATTCATGGTGTCGCCTCCCCCACCAAAAGCCTCATTGATCACGTTCCATTCAAACTCCGACTCCACAAATTCATCCTCTTCTTTGTCCAGCTTCTTACCTCGGCCCTCCTCTTTGAATCTTTTTTCTTTTGACGGGCTCATAGGCCGGTCTCCTCTTCTTTTCCTGTTGTTCTTCCATCCTTGAGTCCTGATCAGATATTGACGCAGCTTTTCGTCTCTGATGTACTTTTCAATCGCATCTCTCAAATCCCAGCATTCATCAGTAGTGTGACCAGGTCCATCATGAAATGCACAATACCAAGATTGGTCTAACCCGACCTGGTTCAGCAAAGGATGGGGTCTATCTACCTTCTTCATCTCCATGGAGGCCACTTCCCTCCAGATTTCCGACCTGGGTGAATTTAAGGGTGCGTTCGTCTCAAATCTTCCCCTAGCTGGAATTTTGTCATCTTGTGTTTTACCCCGGAAGTCATTTTGCCTCCGACTTTCGGGTTTTTCTATTTGGTTAGGATCGTGCTTCTGATCCATATTCTCGATTTCCATCTGCTCGAGCTCCAAATACTTCTTTGACCGCGCTGTGAACTCTACCAAAGTCCGTGATGGGTCTTTGTATATGGATTTGGCTAACCTAGAAGAGCCATGCAACCCTGCTATTATCAGGTGCAAATGAACTTTTTCAGACAACCCCAGAACCTGCAAAGCTGCAATTTTGAATCTGTCCAAATATTTTTGCAAGGTTTCCCCAGGTTGCTGTCTTATTTTCCCAAGCGCAAACTCCGACTTCGGCTGTTTTTTTTCTAGTGGAAAAATTTAGCAAAAATTTTCCACCAAATTCTTCAACGATCTGATGGACCCCGCTGGTAATGATGAAAACCATTTTTGAGTCGTTCTTGTCAACGTAGTCGCAAAGAGTCGCGTGATCAAAGGCTCTTCTATTCATTTGATGTACATGGCTGTGTCAAAGGAATCCAAGTGCGCTTGAGGATCCTGTGTTCCGTCATACTTGAGAAGCTCTGATAAATTCAGATTCTTTGAAAAGGGTGCATCAACAATCTCGTCCACGAAGGGAATATCGTTGTATTGCCCCCTATGATACTTTCTCATGTAGACCCCGGATACGTCGTCCAGGTTTCTGAACGGATGTCCGCTGCTTAGAGGCTGGGGGCTCTCTACCTGCCTCGTTGTTCCTCTTCCACCACCCCGGCTTCCTTTAAACCGAGGTTCCTGGTTACGAACCGGGTTAGTAGCGCCCCTCTAATGTCGGCCATCAGCATTTCTCGCTTGAGCCCTGGTTCGATCATTATTCTGCTGAGGGTTCGTGATCCTCAGGTCGGTCATGACCCACGTTATAGCTTGTGCCGAATCCGGGTTGGAGATTCGCCCTAATCGAGCTTCCAACTCTTGAACCTGCCTAGCACCCTCTTCCCTCTGGAGCTCATGCCTTCTCTCCATCTCCTCCATTCTCCAGAGCACCGCAGCGACAGCCAGATCTGTCACTCGGGGATCATTAACTGCCCCATTTGGGATCTGGGTGGCATCTGCAATTTGGATTAACTGTTGGTGTTGATGCTGAATCAGAGTGCACATCGCTAACGTGCACAACATCGACATCTAGCTATTGATGATCCAAGGGATCCTCCCTGATCGGAGGAATTGGTTGGTGCCTGGAATTCGATCTTGAGGGTTGTCGGTACCCACTTCTCGTCGCCCTCACCATGTCGATCGATGACTTTTAACCACGTAATCGTAAGGGTGGTGTCCCCACAGACGACGCCATTGTTCTGCCTGAGGCAGAGATGTCTAACCGTAGGTTAAATAGTTGATGTTGGATCTAGTGCTTTCTCTAGATACCTATGGATTAGGTATCTTGAGGACAACAAATCACTACACACTATATGACGGCCTTAGCCAAAGGGGTGTGTGTGTGCGCTGTGTGATTGCATAAAATAGGGTTAGAAAAAGATCAGTCATACCCGAGGTCTTTAGCTCCTATTTATAGTGCTTACCTTTGAGCTCGTACTACTTGGGCTTCATGCGGATGTGGGCCCTTCTCAGGTCCATAACTATACATATATGAGAAAAATATTTCTCAAGCTGCTTGAGATATATTTATCTACGGTCACCCTAAAACTACGTCGTTTAGTTTATTTATTTCCTTATATTAAATTATTTACCTTTGAATGATTATGATTCTTTTTTTTTCTCTCTTCCTTTATCACCATTGATCCATCTTTACGGTTATGATTTAGTAGCCGGAAATGAAATTATCTCCGGCAGCTTGAGAAATGATAAGCCATATATATATATATATATATATATATATATATATATATATATATATATATGGAAAAACATTTTCTCATGTTGCATGAGAATAATTTTCATGTTGTGACTCTTCGATTTGCATGCAATTTTTTTTCTTTTTTTAATAAATGTGGGGCCCACCACTAATTGAGTCACAACATAAGAATTCAATTCTTATGCAACATGAGAAAATCAAACCCCATATATATATATGGGTCTATAATTCTCATGTTACATGATATGAGAATTCTTATGCTATAGAGATAAAAAGTCATGTGGAACATATGTTAGAAAAAGTTATGTACGAGGGCCATGTCAACACAAAAATCGAAGAGTGTGTAGAAAAATTCCTTTTTGTTCTGTCTGGACGATAGGGATGTCTAGCTCAAGGCTAGTAGATCGATATTGGATCGAGTTCTCTCTTTAAGGTATCTATGAAGTAAATACCTTGAGATGACAGATCATTGTACACAATTGATTACGACGTTAGCCAAAAGGGTGGTGTATGTACACAGTGACAATATATATGTTCTAAAGATATTAAGTTATACATGTAGGTTTTACCTTCTATTTATAGAGTTTTACATATGGGTATATGAATTTTGGATCTTCTATTCATAAACCCAAATGTCTTCTTGCAATTGCTTGGGCCTTTAGATATGTGCACCTTATGTAGGTCCATAACACTTTATATCTTACATAAGAATTATAAAATTCATATTATATTGTGTACATGCAACATCATTAATATTTTAAGAAAATGGATCATAGTTACCAAAAAAGAAAAGAAAATGGGTCATTAATCGATGGCTTCGTTTTCATTCGACCGCTAAAGTATTACTGACTAATTGAATAAGAAAAATCAATAAAAAAATATTTTGGGTTAGGCTCAAGTGGCAATACGAGCTTTATAATGAATGAATTGCCAAAAGTGTAAGATTTGAATCCTCAAAGAGCCTTTAGGTAAGAGTTAGATAATTGTCGTGATATTTGACCCCGGATTAGACTTGTATTTGTGTGGACTCTTTTTCCAATATAGGCTGTGAGGATACCCAAGAGACCTTGACACACTTAAAAGAAATAATTAGGGTAATGAAATAAAAAATTAAAGTCATTAATACATATTTCATAAATAATTATTTAAAATTATTAATTAAAAAATTATACATTTCAATGCCAGATTGTCTCAAGTTTTCAAATGATCCGAATGCCAATTCAAATCGCAAAACAGTAAAAGTATTATCCCATATGAAACATACAGGGAATAATAGTAGGGAAAAATGTTTGTAATATAATTTTGTGTCATTTTAAATTCTAACCATTGATTTCTGTTAATTAACGATTAAGATTTATTGGATTTTATTACGAATTAATAATTAATTAATAAATTTGACCTAATAAATCTTAACCTTTAATTGACGAAAATTAACGGTTAGGGTATAAAATGACACAAAGTTATATATTTTAAAAGCACAAACATTTTTCCCATAATATTATTGGGATTAATGTTGGCTTTTTGACCCTTTTGCCCCTCACTAATTAATTAATAACCATTTTGCCCCTAATTCAAAACTATCCACCAATCTGCCCCTCTTTAATCGATTAACTTGCATTTTTACTCGATTAAATGGTTGTTGGAAAATTTAATCGATTAAATCTCCCAACTTAATCGATTAAAATATCATATTGATTTGTTTTCCTTTGTTATCTGTCGGGAGATTTAATCGATTAAATAGGGAGATTTAGTCGATTAAATCTCCCAACAACCATTTTTGTATGTTTTGAGCATTTAATCGATTAAAAAGGCAAGTTAATCGATTAAAGAGGGACAGATTGATAGATATTTTGAATCAGGGGAAAAATGGTTATTAATTAATTAATGAGGGGCAAAAGGGTGAAAAAGCCGATTAATGTTTATCATATTATAGGAGATAATTTTATTTTTCACGTATATATAAAAGTGTGTAGGGTCCATTAGGGCCATGTGAAAAGGAGAGAGAAAAAAATGGACCCTATACATTTTTATGTCTGTGTAGGAAATAAAATTATTTCATACAATATGAAAAATACTAATCTCAATGACATTTGCAGTTTAAGGTAACATGCTAATCAAGAAGAAAAACTTAATATGAAAAGAAAACTAATAAAATAAAGGGGAGAAAATATCTAATATTACTTTAGGCAACTTTGTTTAGTGTTTACTGAAACGATGTCGTTTTGGGGTTGAAAAATTAAAGAATTAGAAAGATAAGAATTATATAACCACTACACCAAAACTGGGTTTTAGCGGCGGTTTTTTGAATTTAGCGGCGGTTCAAACCGCCACTAAAAAATACTGTGGCCAATTAAAAACCGACTTAAAAAATGGCGACGTTAAATAATTTAGCGACGGTTTGAAGCAACCGACGGAATAACCGACGCCAAAAATAAAACCGACGATGAATATATATAAACCGCCATTAATTATTAGAAAAAAATAAATCACTTTTATTTATAGCGGCGGTTTCAAAAATTATGTAAATCATGTAATTCATTTTTTTTTTTAAATTAAATTTTTGCTGTGGTTTCAAAAATTATAAATTTTTTTTTGTAAACAATATATATTTTAAACAACCACTGAATTGTATAATTCATTTAGATTACATAACTTGACTCAAATTTTTGATTTCTTCATTGTTTATAAGCAAAATTGTCGTTATAACATTAAATATATAAAAAAACTAAATACAATTATAAATCAATTTAAAAAGTTTAACATTAAAAATTAATAGATCCAAATATAGGACAAAAACAAAGTACATAACTCTTTTACAAATTAATCGTAAAAAAATCACAATGTCAATACAACTAAAATGTTTAAACATAAGTAATCTAGTATAGTTGTTGCTCCAATTGCAGCAAGTGCCATTGACCTTCAAGAATAACCTGAACAAATTCTAAAACTGTTTAAAGGTAATCCGAAATGACATTCCATACTGTTAATCTGTTACTGTTACAATTATCAATTCAGAATAAGAGTCAATTTTTAGCATCTCCATTTTATTTTTAGCACAAATAAAATTAAGTACACTAACTTAATTAGTAATAGAAAATTTTGATAGTAAAAATATTCTCCCTCTGTTAAATATTACACGTGTACCAGGATCGCATTTGCTTCCTTTGCCATCTTCAGCACACCAACATTGTCAGGGGTGATAAAGTATTTGTTGTCCACGAGCTCCACACCCTAGCAAAACCCAACTTTACGTCATTTAGTTGGCGGTGAATAATTATAATTTTATTATATCAATATATTTGCAAACGTTGACAAAAAAAGAAAAAGGAAAAAGGCATGTCATCATTGTCATGTGAATTTGCTTGGTTCAGATTTATTTAATTTATTAAGGGGGTAAGAAAAAAGAAGAGAGAAACAATAAAAAAAGTGATGGGGTTTTTGATGGTTAACACGATTTAGATGGGGATAAGAACAAAAAAGAAAATTCCTCGAATCATGAACAGTCGAGACAAGTTTGCACACCTCAAATTGTTCTAAGGTAGGATAAGATCCATTTGCCATCTTCTTCCTCACGGTGGCAAAGTCCATGGGATGCTCAATCACATCGTGATAATCAGGAAGCTGCATGTCAAAACAGAAAGCCTATCAATTAGCTCCACTCTTAATCTGGATGTATATAGGCATAAAAATAGTACAGTAACAGGGAGTGCACTATAATGCCAAATCAACAATATGCTGTATATTCTCATAATATATATGGGACTATATATAATAGTTATAAATCTAAAACTTGGAGTCGTGTAAATAAAGTAAAAAAAATCTTGTCTTCATTGAAAAAAAGCGAAACAAAGAAGGTTAACTTGATCAAATCCTTGATCTTCTTGCTTCCTAATATAATCACTCGTCCTATGAGAATATTCAACCCATTTATGTATTATTTATTCCAAAGAGAAAAAATAAAAATAAATAAAGCTTAGAATATAATAGCACGCTTGAAAGTTGAAAGTTATAGGAAAGTTACAGTTAGGCTCAAAGGGGTCCCATATGAGCTGCAAGACAATGACCATCCATCCGATTAAGAAATTTGTAGAGTCCTTTAACGCCAAAATCATAATTTTTTATTTACCCTTAATCACGAACTATTCAGTTCTATATGTTTATGATTGGACAACACCCTTCAGAGCATTGACTAAGAAACAGAATAGCAATCTCCAGAAAAAAATGGTAGCTGTGTTCAACAAAGAGCTCTTGAGTTGGTACCTTATCACTCTTAAACTCAAAGAAACATTAGAATCCATGATTCCATCATCAACTGAGTTTCCAGAGAAGCCTCCTCAACAGCAGCAAAAGCTTCAGCAGGAGCCTTCAGAACCATTGCAGGTTATCATCAATGAAGATGGTGAAAATTTGAAGGAAGAAGCAAGCTCACAAGAATCTGAATGGGTGATCTCCATCAAGGAAAAACTAGAGCAAGCCCGTCAAGATGATGTGGCAAGTTCATGGGCCAAGTTATCAATCTACGAAATCCCCATATTTTTTAAAATATAAAAAAAAAAAAAAAATGGTAGTTACAAGTAAAAGGGGATGGCAGGCATTATTAACAGGCATTATTATCACTGTTTACTTCTTTGTTTAAAAGAAACATCATTAATTGAATTATTCCAAATGACAGTTACAATGCCATAATGACCAAATAATTCAAATTATTTTGGTTTTATCAGTTAAAGAAATGGAAATTATAGACCATTAATAATTCAAATACACATCCTTAATTAACACTAGAAATATCTGGTAACAGTAATTACCCATTAAAATTCTAATCTCTAAAAGAGCTTCAACAGGGTCCAAAATCCCACTTTATAAAGAGAAAGAACCTCCACCCCAACACCCCAAAAAAATAAAAAATAAAAAAATAATGTATTCCTCATTTCATCAAACAGCCACCGTGAAATGAGACAAAGCATTAAGAAGCCAATACATTCAACAAATTCTGACATGTCTGGAACTCAATGAACAACATATTATTCTGATTTTATTAATAGCATCATCAATTTACAAAATCAGTTAGCTTGCATGCATCAAATTGACAACTAATTATTCAGCTGCGGAACAAATGGAGAAGTAGATGAAGGAACAGACAGAGATTTGAGATTGAGGAATAAACCTTAAAAGTGAGTTGAGAGCAAGAAAAGCATGGATCTGGCGTGCGCAGTGAGGGATTGAATCAGGTGCCAATTTTCTTGCAACACGCAGGGATTGTGGTAGGTTCTAGGCGAGGTTCTTATCAACCTGTTTCTGTTTGGGACCAAATCAGTTCTAACGTTAAACAAATATTCGATTGATTTTCTATTTCACTACTTTAATGAAATGAGATATTCTTTCCATTTTAAGCAAAAGCAGAAAATAACAAAAGCATGAAATTCAAATATGATAAGGATACTGACATAATAGTATGCAGGTGGAGCGCTCAATTCAGTTTCCTTGGTAGAACAACAACAGCACCAACAGCCCATATCGCCTTATCTGCAGCACCCAAAAATAATTATTGGCACTGGGTGCATCATTTCACCTTCATCACCATAAAAATGCACAACTCTTTTAGATAATTAATTAATATAAAAGTAAGATTTTACGCTTAAGATATACACGCACTAAGAAAAGAGAGAGAGAGAGAGAATAATATAGTAATTGCAAATTTACGATCGCGCGTGCGTGGAAAATACTCCACCCACACTGTAAGAGAATAATAATACCCAACTTTCAAAAACACAATCCAATTCATCAAGCGAGAACACGAGCAAAACAATCAGAATAAGCCATGATTTGAAACTTAAAAACAGCGATTAATAGAGAGGCCAAACATATAAATCTTATACGGAATTTCAACGAATTCAATTCAAAACAATGATCAAGCATCAACCGACAGAAAAGAGAGAGAAAAAAAAAACAGCAATAATGAACCTGTGAGTGATAAGTCGTGTAGAACCTCATATATACAATTTTCAGTGTATAGGATCACAAACTTGTGCGATCCGTTCACCGTCTGCGTCACAGACCCTCAAACTCATCGGCGACGATAGCACCGCCACCCTCTCCGCCGTCAAGGCAGATGGAATGCGAAATTCATGCGATGCGGAACGGGAAATGAATTCCCCAATCGGAATTGAAAGTGAAATCTAAATCAAACAATTAAACAGTTCAAAAGCCAAAATTACTCACGATTGGTAAAAAAACGTGCATATGGAGGAGAAGCGTAAGAGAAAAGAGAGACAATGAGGTACGATTACCATTTTGGCAAACTAAACACAGATCCAAACCCTAGCAGGAAAGATGAAGAAATCAGAATGAAACATTAATTAGAATCCTAGAAGGAAAAAAAATGAAGAAAACAGAATTAAAAAAGGATATTTTTTTAATTGTTATGAGAATTTGAGAACGAAGAAAGAGCCAGAGAATAAGTGTTGTGCCGTTTAGCGATGCTATTCGTTTTTAATTGCATTTTTAAATTTATTATTTTTAAATTTTTTAAAGCATATAAATTGACCACTTTTCTTGTGGTGTTAACCCAATCATCCTTTTATAAACTTAATCACTAATCAGTGGCGTTTATCTATAATCGACGTAGATGAACCGAATCCAAATACCGTTTTTCCTGTAGTGAACCCTGAAATAAATTAAAATTACAATCACAACATGATTTTCGCTTAAAATAATGTCGTTTCAATGAACATTAGACAAAATTATCTAAAGTAATTTTTTTTAATAAAAACAACCCTAAAATAAATAAAACACTACAGCTACCACTTCTTAATTAGTCAAACATGATAGCATCTACTATAAGGGTGTGCAAGACAAAATTAAAGTAATTTCCATCACCACCACCATAATTACCACCGCTGCCATTACCACCACCACTATCACTGTAACAGTCCGTTACGTACCGGTAATGTTATCATTGCATATGGTATTAAGCGCAGTTACAATCACAGTAATTGAGTTAATTAAATTACGGGTAAACTTTTTCTTTTATTACATTCCTTTCTTTAAACCTTACCTATTTCTGTAATCAATTAAAACAATGTCATAATTGTAAATGCAAAACTCGCGGAAACATAAATATACTCAACATCAACTCTCTAAGCAATACCATTCATTTTAGCTTTTAGAAAACACATTTTCAAATTTCAACACAGTGGTAATCGATTACCATCCTTGAGGTAATCGATTACCAAAGGTTACTGTGGAAGTCAGAACCTCAAATTGGGCTCCCCTGTTTTCTGGGTAATCGATTACTGAACTAGGTAATCGATTACCAATCTCTAGTAATCGATTACTTTGATCACAGTAGCTCAAATTTTCGTCCTCTGTTTCAGGTAATCGATTACCAATGGAAGGTAATCGATTACTCTGCAGTAAAAATGACAGATGACAGCTTTCAATACACAAAATGAGTGATGTAACATACTCCTAACACCTTGATACTTAATATACACCTTACATAGGTATTAATGTAGGCTCTAGGCCCTTCCATCATGCATATTCACTATGAATGCATCCATTACAACCATTCTCAATAACGTAGCCATTTTACACAACAAAGGGTCTTTTTACATCCCAAGTCTTCCAATGCCTCAAAATACAATTATGTGGCCATGCACAAGTCCCATGCTCACTCAAAATACAAAAATAACAAGAGGCATAACTATACATCAATTTTAAAGGACTTAACATATAGTCATAAATATACAAGAGCATGGCAATATCCACATGCAACAAGTTCATAACCTAAGTCCAAACTATTAAATACTATGCTATGTACATGAACTGGAATCCTTCAATATGTCATAATCTCCAAATGCAACTCACGCTCTACTCCTCCACTAAGCGGGCCTCTTGCCCGGAGATCCACCATGCTCAGCAGGACCTGAAATGATGTCCCCAAACGCGGGGTGAGATATACAAATATATCTCAGTAAACCAAGGGTACTAGAGGATCACTCCACCCCATGGCTCACTCAATGTGCATACAATGATTATCATATAAAATGCATAACATACAAATATCACACAACATCAACTGGGCACAAATCCAAGGACATGCACATCAGGATTCCCTTAAAGGACCCCATCATATAACTCCCGGAATCTTCCTGGTGCATCTCCCATGGTTGAGACGGCCCCATGGAAAAACCCAACTGGAACTCCTCATGAGCCCTATCCAGTGGAAGTCCCACGTTTGGATCATCCTGGTACCGCTCCCAGAGTCGGTTCCACGGCAAAACCCGACCGGAATCCCCAAAGGATATCTCCAGCGGAAGTCCAAACCAACACACATCTACTGGCCAGAGATCACAATTATATCACACAACATGCTCCAAGCATGTCACACAATCATGTCAACAATGCATGAACATACATTTATACATAATCAAAGGCATCAAATCCAACCACAACCTTCCACTAGGTGTGGTGGAACACACGAGGGAATAAAACCCAAGTTCCAAAGGTTTACCTCATTCCGAAGCCAATGCTCCACAACGTAAGCTCCAACCTTAATTCTGCTTCTATAGCGTCCGTGAGAGGCAACCTATATGATCAACAACATGATCATCAACCATTTACAATAACACATCAATTTCACAATTCTTAATCAATTAGAATCACTTATATCATTTTTACACCATCACCCCACCAATGAGCTCAATAGGTCGAATTTCACATTCCCATCAACCTAGGGGTATTCAATCCAATTTCACACTCATACTCATCATATAATCGTATTATTTACACATTACCAACCTTCCCAACCATCACAATTCATGTTCACATTTCCCAATTTCACCAATTTCCACCAAAATACACCAAGTTATGGAATCCCAAAATCACAATAAATTTTATTAAATGAATCATCATTATTTAGACTTTCAAGCATATAATTCCAAAGGAGCATCATCATTTGAGGTTCCCAACTACCCTCATTGATCATACATCATCAAAGGTTCCTAAACATCACATTCATCAATACCTCATCTCAATTACTAATTCAACAATCATACACCTCAAACAATCATATTACCACATTCTACAACAACTAACCATTTTATTTTCACACAACACATTTATGATTTCCATGACAACATCCATTACAAATTTTCCCTAAGTTATCCAATGATTTCACCAATAATTTTTATGAGTTTAATCACTCAAACACATCATTCCAAGCTACTTTTATCTCATACACATTTTCAATTTGAGCTCTCTAACTATATCAATCCATATACACATGCTTTAGGTCATCAATTTCAAATCCACCAAATTACATACTTACAAGTAGAGCTACTCACCAAGAATCAAGGTCAAAGGCTCCTCCACATAATGCCCAGACAATAGCTCAAGAAACAACACCAAGAACACCTATTTTCAACACATGGCCGCGGGTTTGGGGAGGGTTTTTCACTAAATCCCATGGTTTTCACGGCTCAAGAGCACCACCAATGGCTTTAGATGGTGATTTGCATGAAGTGTCAATCCAAAAATCACTTGATTTGGTGGAGAAATGGTCAAGTTACAAGGAAATGAGATTTTTGAGCTATATGGCTATGGAGGGTGAGAAACCCACGGGAGAGAATGAGAAGGAGGAGAGAGAGTGTTCTGAAATTGTAATGCTTTTGGTCCACTTACACACTTAAGTCACTTAAGCGGGTCCCACACGTCATTTAACTTTCTTAAATCACCTAGTTTAACCCACAAATTCATAACCTACATATTTTTCTCGTTCACGTCATATTTTTACTTCATAAAAATAATGATCATAATTTCACGCTTAACGGTACAATTATACCGCAGTATTTTACACCGAAAAAATCACTATTCATCAAATTTTTCGAAACTTGCCTATCCACTCGATTTTTTGTCCTGAATCCATTTTCGGCATTATTTTTATCATTTGAGGTCTTCTACTCAATTTTTCATGCCTAGGGATACGTGTTTGGTAAATTACCATTTTGCCATTTTCAGTCAGTTTGGCCTTAATTTCCGGATTTTCACTAATCCTTCCCTTTTAACCCATATTATAGCATATAATTTCATATTTAGATTTACGAGGTGTTATAATCACTGTCACCACCACCATCACCACTACCGCCATTAACCACCACCACCATCATCGCAACCACTGTCGTCACCATCTCCATCGCCATCAGACGTCACTACCACCACTACCATCACCACCACTATCACCAACCACCACTATCACTGCTGAAGCCACTACCGTCACCACCACCGCCGTCTCAGCCATTACCGTCACCACCACCACCATCGCCACCATTACACCATCCTCACCACTACCACCACCGTTGTCATCTACCACCACCGCCATCGTCGCATCCACAGTCACTGCCACCACCACCATAATGTCTTCACCACCACCACCACCATGCCACTGCTACCATTGTTGTCGCCACCAACCACCATATCCACCATCATTGTCGCAGTCACTGCTGTCACCTCCACCACCATCATTCCCACCACTACCACCACCGCCGCTATAATTACCACCGCCATCGTCGCAGCCACTGCCGTCACAACCATCACCACTATCTTCGCCACGTCACTGCCACCACCACTACCGTACCGCCGCCGCCACCACCACCATGCCACCCGCCATTACCACCACCACAACCCCACCATATGGAAAGGAAAGTGATGATCCAAAAATTTTTTATATTTAATAGAAATTATTTTTTATTATATTATTTGTTATGTTATCAAACACAATTCTCATTCTCGGAATAAAAATAGAACATGTTATCAAACATATTTTTTTTCTCAGAAACTGTTCCAAAGTATAGAAATAGAAAAGAATTGTTTCTCTTCAGAAACAAGGGAATAAAATAATTGTCATGCACACCCTAAGATGACTAATCAAGATTCACTCGGTAAACAAGGTATCCACACGTGATCACAACAGCCTCTTAAATCACATTTAATTAGAATGGAATCAGTCATTATAAAACAAATGCAGTCAATTAATATACATATCATGGAGTAATCAAGGGAAGGACCCCATAGAAGGGTTACACACCAATTTACATATAATTCAGCATTTTCTACAAACACACTGATTTACTAAAACACTAGTTGTCATTTTTCTCGGGTAGAGACTAGAGGGGGTAATGTATCTTACGAAATTATCGAATGACAACCATAGTAACCAAATGTTATTGTAGATTAAACACAGAAGTTACGTTAGCTCCACATAAATATATAACCAATAACTTTACGACAAGGGGTTATAACAGCTCTAGACCTCTAGTATTGGTTACACAATTTGTGCAGAACACTTTAATTCTAATTCTTACAGTGAAATGAAAGCAGTTAAATTTATAATACTGTACCTTACGAGTCTAACCATAATTCCTGGCAACCATAATCAATTATGCACTCCTTTGAGATAAATTCAACATTCATTATGATATCCAAGGGTTGGGGCATACTTATGAAAACAGGTGACTAAGCTATAATTCAGCGCTATCGTGACAAAAGTTGAGGAAATGTATAGGACAACTCCAATTTAGTAATTCACAACCATTCAATTACATAATTAGACAGTCCTTAAGTAGAGTAATTAAAAAAATATAGAAAGAGCGGGCCAGAATATCAATAATTTGACTAAAATAGACTTCGCTTTCTCAAAATTAACTATAATTTGACTAAAATATAGATACATTTTCATGTTTGAAACATGGCTCCATATTCCCAATAATTCTCATTGTAAAGAATTTATTTTCACGACTTAAAGAAAATCATGATTTAGTTATTGGTTGTTCATAAGGTCTCACCGATTGTAAAATGAATTATCCTTTAACGAACCAGGGCACCTCCTTCTTTTAAATATTCTACTTATTATAATTAAGTAGTCTGTTTACACTTGGAAATAGGAGTATAAATTTGATAGGTGGGCCTACAGGAGCCTACGGCTTAACCTATATTAAGCTAGACTTGACCTATTATAAATAGTAAAATAGAACATGCCTAGACTTTTAAAAAAATATATGTTGAAAACAAGCCATAGACTTTTTTTGTATATGTCGGGCCTATAAGCCTACAGACCAGCCTATATCATATTATTTCTTTTAAATAAAATAAATAAAATTATTATTTTAATAATTTTGAATAATAAAGTAATATTATTTTAGTTATTCTTTTAATTGCTGAATGTTTAATAGGCTTAAATAGGTTAACAGGCCAATGCCAAAGCTTTTATTTTTTAAATATATGTCAGGCCAGACTTGTAATTTGGGATCTACACAGGATAATAGGTCAGGCCAGACCCAATATTTTTTTACACACACCTGACCTATTTAAGCCAAAGCTAAGTCTAGCATATTTGTACTCCTATTCATTCCATTAAATCTTGAGTCAGGGGTTCAAACCCTGCCTCAAGCAAATTCTTGAAAAATCTTTGGGGGCCAGAGAATGTGCCTCCCTCCTCGATTGGGGGATTAGTCTCATCCTTCCTCTGGTAGTGAAGTTCAATGCACCCACTGTTTCAATAAGGGGCTAGCCTACAGGGCCGTACCCCGAGGGCAAGATGACCGGAGGAGATTGAATGAGGATACCTCCAGGTTATACCAAAAAAAAATATAGCATATAATGGAAGAAAAAAGTAAATCTTATGTCGTAGAAAAATCATAATCTCATGTCATAGATACATCAAGTGTGGGACCCACTTATTTAAAAAAAATAAAAAACAGAAAAAAGAATGACACACCCTTGTATGTTGTGTGTAAAAAGAGTTTATTTTCTCATGCAACATGAGAAAAACAAATCCCCTAATGATAGCCGGGTACTAGTACGTCCTTTACAAGTTTATATATGTCATATGTTGCTTTTCACCAAAAAAAAAAACAAATCGTATGTATCGCTATTATATGGGCCTCTTTTTTGTATATTTCTCTAATGGACTTATCTGGAACAGGCCCAACAACTGACGGCCCACCTGACCTACGGGCTGACAAAGAATTGAGGCCCAATACAGGCCCAGCAAGATAATGCAGTAATACTACATTGAATGATCTTTCAATCTTATCTAATCTAAATGGTCTGGCAACCTCAGTTTTTCTTTATTGGCTGAATAACGGGGTGGACACGGTGAGTGAAGGAAATTTAGTCCCCTTGAGTGAGCCTTTTAAAATTTAAACTAATACAGAAAAGAGAAACACAGTCACTGATTTAAACCACTGAACCCCTCCCTTAAAGTCTAGGACTCCGCGCACACGCTGTACATGTTATTTTATGTTATTTTATTGCATTCCCCCTTTTTTTTTTTTTTTTGAGTTACCCAACCCTAATTATCTCTTTGAGACGAGTTGGCTCCCTCCGGTATCCCCACGAGCTTCGACTCTTTGAGCCGGCTATGGGACTAATCCGGAGTGCGGGGGAACAGTGATGACTAAAGGTTCAGCCCCCTCCCCAAGAATGCATTCAGCGGGAATCAAACACATATCCAACCCCACTAACTCACCTGCATTCCCCTCTCTTTAAACACAGCTAATATGACTTCTAGGTGGAAAAAACTCCAAATTTCGGGTATTATGATGTTTTATCAAGTGAAGAATAACAGTTCCATTGACTCAGAAGTTTTAGCTATCGTACAACCAAATGCTTTCATAGTCACCTGCATTAGAGATTATGAAACTAATAATAGTCCTGTATAAATTATTCAAACCATATGTCTTTAGTGAAAAAAATTTAAAATAATGATAAATATAATATACCATTTGCTATAGCTGTTAACAAGCATGACATCACGTGGTAATGCTACGATTTGCTGAACAAACATACCATTAACATCACAAATAAATCCACAAAATTTAAAACTTGGTAACAAAATGTTCAAAAACAAATCTCAAGCATTCCACAAACTGTTTAGGACACCAAATATACTAATTATTTAGGAATATTCAATTCAACATCAACATCAACAACACCTTTATCCGAAATTAATTGGGGTCGGTGGTAGATGAACACAAATAAAAGATACAAAAAAGTTGAAAAAAGAAAAAGAAAAGTAAAAATAAAATAAATAGAATAGAATAGTATATATATATATATATATATATATATATATATATATATATATATATATATATATATATATATATAAAAAACCTTCTCCAAAGTAAGTTTCGATCTACCACTACCATTTTTTGTGTTGAGCACTTGGTAACAAACTTCTGTTCTTACGGGAGCATCCAGGGACCTTCTCATTACGTACTCAAACCACCTCAATCTATGTTCTATCATCTTCTCAGCAACCGGTAGTACTCCTACCTTTCTTCGAATATCTTCATTTCTTATCTTATCCATCCTCGTATAACCACACATTCACCTTAATATCCTCATCTCTGCTACTCCCATTTTATGCTCATGTTGCCTATGTGCTGGCCAACATTTAGCTCTATATAGCATTGCAGGTCTTGCTGTTCTATAGAATTTTTCTTTTAACTTGAGGGGAATTTTGCGGTCACACAAAAATTCAGATGCACTACGTCATTTCATCCACTCTGCTATGATTTTATGATTTACATCGTCGTCAATCTCTCTACCTTTTTGCACATTATATCGGTTAAATATAATGTACATTAAAATCCTAAATTGAAGAGGACTGTCGTTATTATCTGCAAAGCTGGTGCCCTTATTCTTCATTTCTGGGGTTTCGCAAGCTTCTTTATTCTTCATTACCTGCTGATTTTTTTTTGGGTACATCAACTCCTCCTTGAGTTTTGGAATCTCCCTTGTTCTCCGTTACCTCCCACTGAAGACCCTCTTGGTACCCTTCTATAAAACTTTTAAGAGCATCTCTGTATGCAGAAGCTCTGGCCATGTACACACGCTGCAAAGCAGGTTTGAGAGTCTCCATTCCCCCTCTGGCAGCTACAACTGTATAATTTCCAGTAGAAGATACATATGTTTTGTCAAAATCACCATAACTCATTATTCAAAGCAATAGCAGGAAAACATAAAAAGGGAAACTTGGTGCTATGAAGCTCCAGCTATGCATAGGGTCAAGAAAATGGCCAAAACATGTGGGACTATAATAGATAGTTTTACATTGCAACAACACTAACGGCTATGCCAAGGCTCCCCTTGAATGGTAGGAAGACAACCAGGAAAAAAAAAATGCTAGGAAAACAAAACAAAAAGAAAGGAGGGAATTTATAAACCACATGATTCAGAGCATGAAAATCTGAAAACAGAATTCTTGAGTTGCGAGAATAGAAAGAGCTGAGAATTTTACTCAATGCTAATTTCTCTAATTTCTTTCTCTTGAAGTAAGTCATTAATTTACTAGCTACATTAATAATGATAGTAGAGTATAGGTAATCATAATTATAGTAGACAAAGAGATAGTACCACGATCCTCCAATGTTGAGGGTTCTTTTCCTTCGGTTGTTTTCTTTTCTCTATTTGGTTCATCAATCATTTCATTCTTTTTGTAATCATTTGGCCGAAGATCAGGGCCAATGTCACGAACCCAGCTAGTAGCATAAAGCCTGCCAATGCCACGGCTAGTATCATAAAGCCTACCATGTCACGTACCCGGCTAGCAGCATAAAGCCTGCCAATGTCACGAACCCGGCTAGCAGCATAAAGCCTAGTATCTCTCTTCAAAACCTGAAGATTGAACATCTCAGTACAATCTCAATTACCAATTGCCTAATTGTCATTTGTCATCTGTTTAATTAACTATAATTCAACATCTCCAATATTTCACAAACAACATTGACAAAATAAACCATGAAATCATGTCAACATCGAAAAATTCTGCGCTATTGTTACAATCAAGAAAACAAAAAGTGAAATAGAGAAAAGTAACCAATGCCCACTTCAAGAATGCACACATCACTCATTCTTCCATAGTCCCTACTAACTCACACAGCCTCTTGAAAATAGGGTACACAAAAAATTCATTGAATTGAGATAAAGCCAAAAAATTTAAAAGAAAAAACAAGTAAAAAGTGAAAACCTAAAAGCAAAAAATTATCATCATATCAGTAGAAGCATATTGATTTGATAGCATGAAAGTGGTAAGTATTATTAAAAATGATAATACCCAGATATGTTGCTCCCATGTCAATTTGGGGCGCTTTTTGATGTGAAGAGGGTCGGGCAAAGACGAAGGAAAAGCAATTTCCTTCAAATCGTTGCGTATATAATTGTAAATTTTCCTGCGCACAACCCTAGCTTTCATTGGATAGCTCCACATTACGAACAGATTTGGTAACCGGAGATAAGATCACTGGATTGAGCACCAAATCTTTTATTGAATACTAAATAATTCCTGTAATAAAAAATATATTAATAAAATGTGCTTTGGCTGACAAAATATTCATAGGAGAAAAAATAAACTAATGCCAAGTTTACTAAATAATTAATTGAGGGTTTCAGTTTCAAACGTCCTTAATCGGACAATTAGGAATGCACATTTTAAACCCGAAGATCCTAAATTAGAAAAATGCCTGGTTCCGATTTTCTCAAATTCCAATTACAGCATGGTTGTTAAAATCTATAAAACAAAAACACGATGCCCCGAAAGAGAGGAGTAGCAAGTCAAAAATACAAATGGATATGCCTCAAAATTCTGAGTTCAGAAAGGAATCTTCCTTTCACACATCTAATTGTTACATCATCCTTGACTTCCGTTTTCTTTAAAAATGTTTTTTTTTTTTGGGTAAAACCAGTTAAACGGGCACCTAACAAATTAAAAAATATATATATATATCAGTAAATAACTGAGGCACTGATAAATGACCAAACCAAAGGAGCTGAACTCTCGTTTGCTGCTGAATCAATGCCTCGTATTTAGAACAAGGTGAGTGACAGGAGGACCCAGAAAGAAAACCCTCATGACATACCTCGAAGGGATGTTGATGTAGCGCTGCTATGACTCAAATAGCTTGCATGGTCAATAAAGAAGGTGACGAACGAAGGGAAATTTATATCTCATTCGTACGATGAAAGACGACTTTACCCCTCAATCCTAATTGAATACTAATTTTAGGGGTGTATTAGATTGGATTTCAAAAGATTTTAATTAATTAGTTTTGGATAAAAAAATCTATTGGTATTCAATTAAGATTTTAGAGGATTGAAAAAAAGTCACGTGATATTCGATTAGAATTTTACAAGATTATTTTAGAGTCCGTCCAAATTCGTTGGTATTCAAGGAAAAAACAAACAATTTTGTGATATTCAAAAATTTGACGATTTTAATAGATTTTCTATTGGTATGGATTTTATTAGACTTTTTAGTGAAAAATATAAATAGAATGTTTCTCTTACAATCTCACCTTAATCTCTACGATTTCTTGAGATTTCTCTATTGCAATATCTTCTTCTTCTTTTGACGGATCGACTGGCTTGAAACTGAGTTCCGCCAAGGGAGCTTCGTCAAAGTTTTAAAATAGTAGATTTTTGAGCGTCTTTTATCACAAAACAACCAAAAAATAATAAACAAACAAGATCATAATATAATCTATCTTAAAAATCAGCAAATGTTTTAGCAATTTTTGGGAGCTTTTGAAAGTTTAAAAAATAATTATTCAAGCAATGAGTCACAATTTTTCTTGGCACAAAAATATGTGATTTTGGTATTAAAAATAACATGAAACAGTAGGAAAATAACACGGGAACTAAAACCTTCAAATCAATTTTTATTTTACATAAACTAAACAATATCAATTTAAAGAAAGATTGAAACTTTGATAATATTAATCCTATATTTCGTAACAATATATTCATGAACGAAATTCATTCGCTATTGGAAACAATTTCAAACAATTTTTGTGTTAATAGATAACTAAAAACTTATTTTTCAAAAGCCATAAAGCAATTTAAGGTTTCAATGTATCGATTGAAAATAATTTAAATTTTTTTCTGAAATTTCATGAAATAAAATCCAAAAAATCATATTCAAAGTTTTCTAAGAATACTCAATAAAAATATGCATATGATATATGATTAGAAAACTATTATAACGTAAAACAAAGATTCCAAGGTTTCCAAGATCAATTGCAAAAAATTTCAAACGAAATTTTATCATGAACTTTAGATTCTATATGCAAATTTAATAAATTGAATTTTATAATCATATATGCATAGCTCTGATACCAAATGAAGAAGATAATTTTTAACCCATTGGTCAAACACAAAAGCAAGAATGAGAAAATACTAATGCGTGAAGATTAATATAACTTTAGATATGTGGAAAGCTATTGTTTAGAAATTTTGAAGGTTTGTTAAAAATTATATTATGTTTTACTAATTGAGAAAATTATATTAGGTTCTACTTTATTTTATTAATATCATTGCATTTCTTTGTTATTTTTTTATTGACTCTTGTAATTTTGAATGTTGTTAAAAACTCATAGTTTTTTGAAATTTTATAAATCCATAATTTCCTTTCAAATCTTATAAGTTATATTAAAATCCTTTGAAATTCAATCTTAAGAAATCTTGATTGTAAAAAAAAAATCTTTTAAATAAATCTTAAAAGTCTCTAACATTTTAAATAGTCTTTTAAAATCTGTAAGATTTTTTATCTCAAAAAAAGTCTTTTAAAATCATAATCCAATATACTCCATTTAGGGTTTTCAATCCCGTAGATTAATTTTGGGCTTTTGGCCCATGAACAATGATATACACTTATGATTTAAAATATTAAAAAAATTATCGAGTCATATGTTGGAAGGTAACCTCTAGAATCTAGTCTAAATTAATCATATTAAATGAATTATAGGATGAAAATAAAATAAAATATAGGAAGAATGTACATAACTACATATTAAATGAAATTAATTATCATTTTGTAATGAAAATAAGAAAATGTTCCGTAAAAATCTTAAATCCCATTTTAAGAACTCACACCGTTAATTAAGGAAGCTAATTAATTAATGGGCGTTGCTTTTCTACTGTTATTGAAGAAAACAAAATTTTCCTGCAGACTCAAACATCAAACGGACCCACCATTTCAAAAGTTTAAAAAATAAAAATAAACTCTGCACAAACTCCCATGAGTCTATAGCAGAAGAATTCAATTCTTCTGTGACATAAGAATTATTTTCCCTTTAATTAATTATGTGAATTTAGGAAATAATTCTATAATTGACCCTAATAATTATCATGAGGCTTAAATAAATGTAGTAAGTGATTAAGAATGCTGAAAGTCGCTTTTCTAACGAAAAGTGCAGATACCAGTTCTGCTAGTCGGTATAAATGCGTACCGATAAAGTATCCCGGAAAATAATAATAAGTGCATGAATATTACTAGAATAATATATAGGACTTGTAAAACGAGTTTCAAGTTAAAATAATGAGAACTGGTGCCAGAACTGATGTTAGCTATGGGAAAAGCGCGTACCAGAAAGGTGCTCCGAAAAATAAAATAAAAATATGATAATTCTTGTAAAATTGAGTAGGTTAAGAATCCTGAGTTTGGGATTAATATGCTAAGCATAGAAATTAAAGTTAATACTGTGTGTTTATTTCCTAAGTGGCTATATATACTTAGTGGCACATGATCCTAGGGCATATTTGTGCCTTCTACGTGAACCTTGCTGAAGCCTTGTGACCATCCACCTTGCTTCTCCTCTTCTTCTCCATTTTCTTACCAAAGACACCACCTTTGATCATTGTTTCTCTTCTTGATCAAGTAAACACTTGAGTGTGAGCATGGGAGAGTGCTAAGGGTGCCTTTTCTGAGCTGTGAGGGTTGCCTTGTGAGGTGTTGACGGGCTGAGTTCTTGGGTTGGGTTGTGTGAGTTGTCTTCTTGGCTGGTGGAGCTTCTAGAAGCCTCTTTTGTGAAGAAAGGGCATAGCTTGGTTGTCTTTTTCGTTTTTGGCAAAGTCAGAACTGTGAGGAGCCATTGGTGAGCTCCAAGAGCACTCCTTTCATCTGTTTTAGCCTTGGGGTGAGTTGACTAACCTTGATCACGAGTTTTAATGAGTTAAAGTTGATGTCTTGGCATGTTTCTTGAGTTAAACAAATAACCCACTGGTTTGTGGACCTAAAACAGAATTAAAATGCATGCTTTGACATTTTGAGGTGTTAAAAATGGAACCTTTGAAGGATATCTTCACGAAATACAGAACTGCATTCTGTCGTGAAATATCCGGATATGGATATCCGGATATTGGTATCCGGATATGATATCCCGATATTGGTATCCGGATATGGGGTCTTTTGATATCCGAATATGGATATCCGGATATGAATATCCGGATATGGATATCCGGATATGTCCTCGACAAATATCTGGATATTCTGGGGTTGCGAGGAATAGTAGCTTACTGTTCATCTAGAACTGATGTTTGGGGGTTTGTGGACCCTAGATTGAGGAAGTTAAACTTCTGTAATAATTAAACTAAGTCAGAATCAAGGGATTAATGGCTTATGGCTTTGTGAAGAGCCTAAAGACATGAAACGTAAGAAAGGCGTTGTCTTTATATCAAAGGTTTGTTGAGTATGTATATTGATATATTTATCGGTCCAAAACAGATTGTGATTGTGTTGTGTGTGTACCTTGAGCTGGGTTGGATTCTTGGTTTGGATAGCTAGCTTGAAAGGTAAGCTTTCGTGTCCTCGGATTAGTCTGTTGTTTGTTCCACCGACCTCCATGGGAGGGTGGTTTATATGCATGGTATGCTTTTATGAAAGATGAAATATGCATTGATATATGCCTGAGATGTATTAAATTAATTGTTGACTACTTGCACAATCAGACAACGACTCTGGTGTGTAAGACATGTAGTGTATGAAAGTGATGTTGTCACTTACAAGATCAGACAACGACTCTGATGTGTAAGGCATAAGATTGCGACTCTTATGTTTAGATGGGTCACAACGTGCATAATCCCTATCCTGTTCCCTGGCCAGTCGAACCGCATTTACATACATCACATGATTAATGAGTTGTAGTATTTAGCTCGTCGAGCAAGAGATTATACTGTCATGATATAAATGCCTTAACATGAACATGCATTGAATTTACTGCTTTTGAACTTATATTATACTTGTAAGTGAGCTTGGGGCGGAAGAGTCCTTGAGGACCCCTTGTCTTACTGAGATTTCTTTTTAGAGATCTCACCCCACGTTTGGGGCACCATTTCAGGTTCAGGTAATGCGGGGGTTGAGACCTCTAGCGGCAGGAGGCCGGAGCTTAGCTGATATTGCTGTTTATATGCTGACATGTT